TGAGAAAAGATGAACATGAACTTATTTTCAAAGATGCAAAGGATGCACAACATCTAAGATTTAACCAAGGGATATTATTCTTTTGTAGGCAGAGATGTCCAAATCCTTATAGGAATCACTGCCTAAGTTGCTCCAAGGTTAAAATAATGTAATAATTTAAAGCAGAGGTATAGCCTCAGAGGCGTAGGCAGTCCCAAGGGCCACCCTCTCCAAACGTTACTACAAACGTTACAAATTTGTAGCATTGAATGCCTTAAAGAAAGCTGTGATTAAATATAGGACTAGCCCCTGTGCAACTGTGATTAACCTCATTTAGAGTTGAATAAAATTATGAAAAAAATAGTTTTTGTCTTGGCCCCGCTTGTTTCTTTGTTCTCACGATATTTTTTAAAGGTATGCCACTCAGTACAAAGTGCATCCCTCAGCCTGAAAAAGTTGCTGTCTTAGAGTTGCAGAGCATCAAATGTAGTTGCTTTGTGAAAAATGTTCTATTTTATATTTTGAATATCGTAAGCAATTCTGAGTTAAAACAAAACAAAAATTCAAGTTCACCTCAGGTGCTTATAAAAATAGGATATTGCGACCTTATTTTATGGTGAAACAAAACTTCATCTTTAAAATTCCTTTTTCAGTTTAGGGTAGCCAATCTTTCATACATGATTAATAGATATTTATTTTTAACCATATGATGTTTGGGACTGACCTCTTTTCCTGATCATTAGAATTATTTTTCAGCATTCCTTCTGCTTCTGAAATATTTATTTATTAATAAAATTTATATGACTGCCCATCTCACAGTGTCACAGAAAGTGACTCTGGGCTACATCCAATAATCTAATATTATCATAGAATATAGAATAATAGGGTGGAAGGAACCTTGGAGGTCTTTTAGCCTAACCCATTGCTCAAGTAGGAGACCCTATACCAGGGGTGTCAAACTGGCGGCCAGCGGGCCGGATGCATCACATGCAGGCCACGCCCACCCAGCTCCGAATAGGAATAGGAATAGGAAAAACATCACGAAATGTAACATGACGGCAATGTGACACAGTGAGTTTGAGACCCATGCCCTATATTTATTTATGATTTATTTATTTAATTGTTTGTCAACAACTACAAGGAAACAACTATCAATATACACATAGACATGGACACATTAAAAAATGGCACAAATAGGCAAAACATAGCCATAAACACATAAAATGATTACTTATAAATGAGGACAGTAGGACAGGGATGGTAGGCACCAGTGGTGGGTTCCTCCCGGTTCCACCCGGTTCTGCCGAGCCGATAGTGGTGACAATATGATGTCAGCAAACTGGTTCTGCCCCCCTCGCCCCCCCCACATTATTCTTACCTTTTATTTGGCCCCACCCTCAATCTATTGCTGCCTCCTGAGTCCCAGCTGATGGCTAGAGGGAAAAAAACTGTTTAATCTTGCCACAGGGCTTCAAAGGGCCGCCCTACAGCTGATCAGTGTTAAAAGAAAACAAATGAGTAGACCGGTGCCTGCAAAAATAAATGGGTAGACCAGTGCCTGCAAAAATACATGAGTAGATCAGTGCCTGCAAAAATAAATGGGTAGATCGGTACAGCTCTGCAAGCAGTTAAAAACCTGGTAGACCAGTACCTCTGCTAAATCCTAAATAATTGTCACATGACCATCAAGCCACACCCACAAAATAAGCCACGCCCACAGAACCGGTAGTAAAAAAATTTAGAACCCACCCCTGGTAGGCACACTGGTGCGCTTATGCATGCCCTCTTAGGGACCTCTTAAGAAACGTGTAAAGTCCATGGCTGACAATTTAAAGTAAAAGGTATGGGGGTTAGAGAAACTAACAACAGAATCAGGTAGGGTGTTCCAGACATTTACTACTTTATTGCTGAAGTCGTATTTTCTGCAATCAAGAGCAAATTACATTTAGTTTGTATCTATTGATAGCCCTTGTTTCATTGCAGTTGAAGTTAAAGTAGTCATTAACAGGTAGGACGTTATGGTAGATAATCTTGTATACTAAGTTTAGGTCAGAACATAGACGGAGTAGTTCAAGGTTATCCAGGCCTAAAATTTCAAGCCTGGTGATATAAGGAATTTTATTGCGAGCAGAGGAGTTGAGTACTCTTCTTGTAAAATATCTCGGGACTATACCATTCGGACAAATGGCTGTCCGGTGTGTTCTTGAAAACCTCCAGTGATGGAGACCCACAATTTCCACAGGTAAGCTGTTTTTGTCAGCCAAATCTCCAGAATGCGGTTTGCAGCTTACTTGCCCTCGGCTGCCATGGAAATGACATGGAGGGGGGTTGGCATTTGAGGTGGGGAAGTGAGCTGGTTTGACGTGTTCCCATGAGAATTGGAAGGGAAGATTGCTATCCATCAATGGAGTGGAGCTGTTTGGACTTTTCCAAGGCCAACCATCCTTTGCCTCCAGAGGCATCCAGCATCTGCTGAAAAGATTTCCCATAACATCATATTGGATGCTGATTGGTCTTTATGGGCTAGACCCCGGGAGGGAGGGTTTGGGGTGACTTTGATTTTGCTGCTATCAGTTCATTCCTAATAAAAGTACCTTTTTTTGTAAATCTATGGAGTTGGGGATTTTCTTTCTTAAGATTTGAATGGAGGCAGACCTGACAGTTTTATTGATTAATTGTTCTCACTGTCAAGAAATTTCTCCTTAGTTCTAGGCTGAATCCGTTTTTAATGATCTTCCACCCATTACTTCTTTTCCTGCCCTCAGGTGCTTTGGCAAATAGGTCGACCCCTACTTCTTTGGAATAGCCCATCAGCTCTTGGAAGACTGCTATCATATCACACATAATCCTTCTCTTCATCAGACTAGATGTTCCCTCAATTGTTCGCCATATGGTATAGCTTCCAGGCCCTTATCATCTTTGCTGCTCTTCTCTGTATTCTTTCTAAGGTCTCAACATCTTTTTTCTATTGTGGTGACCAGAATTGGACACAGTATTCCAAGTGTGATTTTGCCAATGCAGTATAAAGCGGTACTATCACTTCACATGATTTTGACACTATCCCTCTGTTGATGCAACCTAGTATTGCATTAGCAGTTTGGCAGCTGGAGCACACTGCTGCTTCATACTTAAGTGGTGGTCTCTTAGGACACCTAGATCCCTCTCACAGTTGCTATTGTTGAGCCAGGTGCCACCTATTCTGTAACTGTGCACTTGGATTTTCCTGCCTATGTGTAGGATCTTGTTTTTCTCAGCACTTAATTGCATTTTGTTGAGTGAGGCCCAGTGTTTAAGTCTGTCAAAGTCCTTCTGAATCTTGGCCTATCATCTAAAATGTTGGCAATTTCCCCCCATCTTAGTGTCCTCTGCAAAGTTGATGAGTTCCCCTTCTATTCCCCCATCTAAATCATTTATGAAGATGTTGACGCGTACTAGGCCTAAGACATAACTTTGAGGTACCCCACTGCATGCTTCCCTCCATGTAGATGTAGTTCTAATGAGGACTGGCCACTGAATGCACTGAGTATGGTTGTGTTATCAATTGATGATTTGTTAATTGTTTTAATAAGGTTGGTTATCAGGCACGATAGCATTTCAGAAACATGAAGTGGCTATCATTTAAAAAAAAAGAAACAATGAAGATGAATGCCTTTTGTTCCTCCATAGAGTTTCTGAATTATTCGTATTTATTAGAATGGAATTCTTCTTTGTGGTTTATATGAGTTGAGGGGAAAGGGGAGTATATGATGATGAACAGGGGTGCATGATGCATATGTGGTGGGAGATTAAGTAAATGTAGATTGTACAAGTAGATTCAACAATTACAGAAAAAAGGAGGTTGAATTGCCAAATGTTAGTGCCTGGAATAAAGTCAGGGATGTCTGCAGAATGTGGTTAAAAAAATAATAATAGCCACAATAGTACAATCCAATCTCAACCTGTTTTGATGTGCCATCTGTACAATGCTTATAAAAACAAAACAGGGCTTTGATCACACCATCGCAACCACCATTTAGAATTTTTGGAAAATACTGCTGAATGATTTGCTTGAAGAAACTTTTATTTCAAAGAACTCAAGCGAGACTGGCCAAGCAGGACCAATGGAGTCAAGGCAATGATTGGGATGTACAGAGTCATTTGAATGACAATCGATCAGTACTGAAACCAGCAGCAAGGAATAATACACTTCTGGAAAACCACAGAACCATACTTCGGCAAGCAGCAAATCCAATATGCCAACTGCTAAACTTCAGTTTCCCTTCAACCGTGTGCAAAATTTCTGTTCCTGGCCAAAGCAAACCTTTAAGAAGCTTCCAGAGTAGCATTGTGCTATTCATTTCTGATTTATTGAGCATCAGTTTTACTCTATTTCCTTCCTAAACTGAAAGGATTTCATGGCAACATTCATTATTTAACAATCTCCTCTTACCAAAGTTCTCAGGCAGAGAATTTGATGTGATAAATCACTTCCTTCTCCTGCTTAGGATGCCGGAACTCTTATTCTGAAAGGATTTCTCTTTCTTAAAGTTCCAGTTTCCTTTTTTTAAATGCTTGCTCAATTGCTCCAATCCAAAAACAAAGTCCTTTCCTTTCGGCAACCTATTCACAAGCCCTCTCACCTCTAGAAGAGTTTGGTTGCCAGTGTATGCTTTCTTGCTAATTTTTTTCCTATTGCAAAGACATTATCACTTACCTGGACATATTTACGTGAGATGCTGTCTTTTCCCAGCACTAAGTCTGGCTCTGTAACAATATATTTGCAAAGATATTTTTTTGTACTGTCAGGAGAACCCATATTCTTAAGATGATCAACCTGCAACTACATTGCAAGATGTTTGGGTTTGGATAAATAATTAGGTGCACGAGGCCCCACCACTGCAAATTATAATGACGTAGTCAAAATACAGTCTGCCACTTCAGAGAGAAATAGTTAAGCATAGAAGTTTTAATCTGAAAAGCAAGAAAATGATTAGAAGCATATTGCTTATATGTCTCAAGTCATCAATAAAAAAATGCACACATTTGGTCATCTGTATTGTTTTAATCCAAAGATGAAAGATTAGGAAAAGATATGAATAGTTTGCTTAATTCTACATCTGGTTTACTTTCCAATACCAGGTCCATCTGGAAGTTGGCACATCACACAAGGTAGGCATGATGTTTGAGGTCACTTCACTTTCTGGAAAACCTGGACACAAACCTCATTCTCTGCTGTCATGCGCTAGAAGAAAAAAGGTCAGTCAAGAAGCAGGAAATAGTTATGCTTGAATCCCTAGAGGAAATTGTCATCTGCCAGCCAACAAATAGGTTCAGTTTGGTTTTTATTTGTACCTAGCACAAAAACAATTGCCATCAATAGAAATACAACAGAAATCTCAGTGTGAACATCTCTGCTTTGCACCTTCCAAACCTACAGACAACCTTCTTCATTAATTCAGTTTTCCAGATATATAATTCTCTATGCATATATTAAAGGGAAGTGTTGAAAACAATGTCCCAAGCTACTTTTCAGCAGAAAAAAAGAATTTATAAAAACTGTTTGTATTGCTCAAAATAGATACATTCAGAAAAATGGACACATTCACAAAAAAGATTTTGAAGCATGAGGCTGTTGTGTCAGATACTGGGGAAAGGGGGAATGATACACGGCAAACTTCAAAGGCCTACAAAAGGATTTCTCGTGGATACTTTTAGTAACCGGCTGCTTTCAAATCTACAAAAGTAATCTAATTATCCTAAAAGAAGGGAGCAGGGAAAGAGTCAACCAAATGACATTTCTGTTGTACTATGTGTCTTGTGATGAGTTTCTACCCTGCTTGGGGCCCCTTCTTGCTTTTGAAAGTAGCTACTTGGTCAAATATTACAGGTTGTTGATTCAACTAGATAAGGCAAACCTGTCACCCCCTCCACCACCATCAACAGGAGAGACAATCCACTAGGAAGTTGAGCAGCTCAACATTCATTGAAGAAAAGAAAAATTTTGTAAGTGTATTCATGCCCATTTAATTTCAAAGGAAAACTTCCAAGATGGATTTGTACCATTACAATCTTAAGTACTTTACTATTTCTTTCAGAATGTATGATCCAAGGATTTGTACTATAGTACAGAAAAAGCTTGTTTCAATCAGGAATGCCACCAGGGGAGGATTCTGGAGCAAGTAGCCGCTACCTACCAGAGCTGGCATATTCCAAAAGGGGCAAAACCACTAAATTCAGAGTCTAAAATTACTTAACTCCACCTCTTAGTTGGAAGCATTAGAGGAGTGTTTCTCAGCCTTAGCAACTTTAAGACATGAGGACTTCAACTCCCAGAATTCCCCAGTGACTGGCTGGGGAAACACCTACCTATTTCATGCTGAAAAGTGCAAATGAATTTTCACCTAGCTGTTCCCTGGTGAAAGTCTGCAGTTGGTTGTGCTTGGATTTATTTAATCTTTTCTAACTTTCTAGCTTTTAGGGAGTGCCAGTGAGCTGAAGAATACTGTAGAATTGTAGTTAGGGTATTCTGTCCAGATGGTTTAGGATGAGACTGAAGAGAATGCCTAATTTAGTACTTTTATTATTAGTCTAATATTCCATTATTAGAGATGTGGCTTCATAATTAAGTTATCATTATTGTAAAGTACACTATAGTTAGTATGATTATTTAAAAATGCAAAAACATTGTTTTTAAAGTAAAGAATGCTTAGGATTGTTTTTGGATGGGGAGATTTGAGGAGAGGGATGTTTATCTTATACTACCAAGAATCTTCTTTCTCACCCTCTCATCAAATTACCCCTGACTTTCAAGGCATTTTATATTTGCTGGAAATTTGTGGCGCACTTTTCAGTCAGACCAGGCTATCTCTCAGAACATACTGCAACCCACCTTTTCTCCGCACAATCATCACAATTCAGGTTTTTACAAGTTTTCTGAGTATTTATTCAGTCCAGATGTCAGCATTCCCTACATACTTGACACAGCAGCCTGTGCTAGAGGGGAAGGCCATGAACTGCATAGAGAGGACACAGCTCAGAAAGATGCCTAAAAGCCCATCTCGGCCAAACTGCCCCTGGAACCACTTACCTGTAAAAAAAAACATGCTGTTTACTAGCACCAAGGCTAAAATTCTGAGTGTCAGGCACAGGGATGCTCTGCTTTGATTTCCTCTCCTTCCCTGGTGCCCCAGGAGCCGTGGTCAAATTTCAAAGAAGAGTGCGGACGATGGGTGGCTCCCTTGCTCAGCCGACTGAACTTTTGAACTCTTGGGAAGGATGTTTTTGTTAAGAGGCCATTGCCTCCCTGAGGAAGCACACAGAAGTTGGCTGACTTCTTGGTTTTTTTGAGCTGGGAGTAGGGAAGAAGACCCATTCTGTGCTTTCAAAAATGTGGGGCGGAAGTAGGAAAATTGCTTACTCCTCCTTACCAGATGCAGTTGATCCCCTTCTAGCCAGTGCCTCCAACCCCGGTTCTGTTTCTCTCCCTTCTGTTCACATACCAGCTGATCTCCATCCCAGGAAACAGTTGTCTGAAAGCAGCGGGAGGGAGCAAGTTGAGTGGGGGGGAGAGAGAAAAGAGAAAGGGTCAATGACATCACTTGAAATAGGAAAGGGCCTTCTGCTGGAAACAAGACAGAACATGCCGTAAAATAACAGCAGCTCAGGGTAATGCAGGCTTTGTTCAAGCAGCCATCCAGGATGCCAGGAGAAAGTCTTATCTTAACCGCATTGTTGATTTTGTTACAGACAAAAATGGGAAGTGAAGACATGCCTAAAAATCTTATGTGTGCAAATCCCCATGGGAACTATTCTGCCTAAACCTCAATAGATGCAGACCCCAAAGAAGCTGCCTTTTTACTTCATGACTAAAGCATGTACATGACAGAATTTAAGCTTCCAAACATTTGTGTTCGTAACTGTTCTGATTTTTTTCCCCTCAGGGCGTGCCGATTTCCCCAGAACTGAGCCACTCTGTTAAGAAAAAATCAGGACTTCCCATAATGCAAAAGGAAGCCATTGTTCCAGATAGCTGGAGGGGAGAGAAGCCCTAATCCTATCTTCCATCTTCATCCCTAAGCTTTATTTTGAAATAAGGAATCTAGACCAATCCAAGACAAGGGATTTCTTCCCAATTCTTTAACCAAGAAAAACAAAACAAAACAAAACAAAATAAAAGCAACGCCTCTCTTCTCTAACATAATGCACTCGAGAAGTGAGAAATCACAACTTTTGACATTCAGAGCCAGCACAACAATACAATTAAATTGTAGACCCTCTGGGCCATGGGATCCTAGCCTGGGGAAGGCCGATCTATGGAAAGAGAAATATGTGCTGAATGTGGATTATAGGTGATGTGCAATTTATCCCATTAACACTGAGACTTTTTCTTTGTCTTCTGACTTGAAGACACCCAAAGCTGGGAATGAAGTTTAGCTCTTAACCAGAAAATACTAGACATACTCACAATTCTCACTGCTAACTTTTTCAAGGTTCAAAGTCACATATATGGGTTAATCATTTTTTAAATCCAAATTTTATTTCTTAGTTCAGCCATTCATTTTCTCTGAACTCCATGAGCAATCTGAAGAAATACTGGCTTACTTCCAGTGTTGTTGAAGATTGCCATAATAACTCCAGGCACTTGAGATATTTTATCTAAACCCTAAAATGTATGTAGGGGTTATTCATTGTCCTTTCCCTTGCATTGTAACTTCCTTTCAAGAAAATTTTTTTAAGGCAGTACAGTATGCTTAGCCCAATCTAAGCAAGCTGGCTGAGAACGATGGGAACTATAATCCCATGTGTTTTAAAGAAGACCAGGTTGGTTTAGCTGATGAATAGTTTATCCATCTTTCATTTATGAAAATGGATGAAATGATTCATTCACAAAATAAATTAAAGTATTCATTAAGCTGTAGTGGTGTGCCTGGCTCTACCTACAAAACTACTCAGCATTAGTCTGAATTCAATCCAGAGTTATCAGGATTTTAATAAATTTCCTATTTGTTTCTTTGTTGCTTGCCTGGTATTGCAGAAAGAAAAGAGACATTATTAAGTGTCTGTTACAACATGCATTTTACCACCAATCACAAGTTTTGCCAGCTAAAATGGAGCTTATTTTACATAATGGATAAGCTCTAGCTTGCATTAAAAACTTGTCCAAATTATTTCATCATGTGAGCAGTTTATCATGAGAGATTTATAGGTCTTGGGAGCAGGAAATTCTGCAACCAGCACACAGACTGCTCATAAAAATAGTTTTAAAAGTCCTGGTGTAAACTGACTACTCATAAAAGTGGGTTAGTTGTATAAATGAGATTGAATTAATGTGTAAATTAACTCCCTATTGCTTGCTTGGAAATTGGCAGAAAATCAGCCTCTGAAGAATTTTGTTGATCCAGTTCACCTCCGAATCAAGAATCTGAGTGTAAACAATGTGTTTCTTCTACCCAGCAGCTTTTTCTTATGGAAAGGCACTGGCCCAATTTCTCCCTACATTTCACCAAAGCCTTTTTCTCTTACCTGGCACTTGCGTCCATCTACTGGCCCCAGATCCTCTTCAAACTCAACCCCAAGGTCAAAGTCCATGACATAGTTTTTCAGAGAAGTTAAAGTGCGAATAGTCATATGGTCACCAGTGTGGACAATCTCCTTGTCTGGCTTCAGGAGACAAACCAGCTTCCTCAGGGCCACATTGATATCTAACCGGGAGATTACAAGGACCAAAGTTAAATAAATGTTGAAGGATGGTGTCTGTGTACCCCAAAGGCAATGGGAATAAGTAGCAAGTAACAATGCATAAAACCATGTCCTTGCTATCCATTTTCCCTGTATGCATTGTATGTATGTATTCCCTGTATGTATTGGCCACATAATAAAGGAAGATGAAAACAAGAATCTCAGTTTAATTTACACCTTCCTTCCCTCCCTCCCCCTCAGCAATCCAAGGCAGCAAACATAGTAAAAGACACACATCTGCATCAAAGACAAATCATTCTTTTAACTCAATTGTTTAAATAGCCAAGTCTTTTCTCTGCCCTAAAAAACAGGGCAATGACTAAACCCCTAATCAGGAAATCCCCATTTAAATCTCACTTCTGCCAGGAATTAATTTGAGGCCACCAAGCAGATTTGTCTCCCCCATCTCTAATACAGCAGTAAGGTTGCATTTGAAAGTGCTGTGGTCCTCTAGAGACACAATGAATTGGGGGTTCGTGATATAAATCGATACTGATTATAAATTGTTGGGGAAGGGCAAGAGTTCCATGAATCAGGCATTGCCCCTGGTGATGATGTAAACTCATCCCAGTAGTTTTTTTGATAAGGGGGAAGTGATTTGCCAAGGCATTTCAGCTTCCCTGTATTCTGTTGGAAGGTCAGCTCTGCTCCTCCCTAGTGCTTTTCCATCCAAATTCTGGCCAGGAGCACCTCTGCTTAGCCCTCCTGAAATTGGGCAAGGTAGATTAGTTTGGTGCCATCAAGAAAAGTCCTAGAAAGAGGAGATTACCACAACCTTTTAGGAGTAAAGAGAGATACTGGAGTTTAACTTTGCCCAGATTACTGCCATCTGAGGGTTGGCGGTTCTCCTAAACCAGGGGTCTCCAACCTTGGCAACTTTCAGCCTGGGGACTTCAACTCCCAGAATTCCCCAGGGGAATTCCCCTGGGGAATTCTGGGAGTTGAAGTCCCCCAGGCTGAAAGTTGCCAAGGTTGGAGACCCCTTCCCTAAACCATGTGGAGCCGCGAGAAAGCGCTCTGGGCGCCAACCAGTCCCGCCAGCTTTCATCACCAACATGGCAAACTGATCGGGAGCCATTTGGCGGCCGGGAGAGGGGAAAAAACAAACAACAAAACCGAGACAGAGAGTGAGAGAGAGAGAGGAAGGTTCGCTTACCCAAGGCACGGAGATAATTCTCCATATTGTCCTGAGACACGAACCGGTAGTAGCCGCTGAAATTGGGAGGCATCGCAGCGCAAGAGGACGACGAAGGCACGGGAAGAAAACGGGCAGCGGGAGGAAAGCTCACAGAAAGGAAGGGAAGGAAAGAAGGAAGGAAGGAAGGAAAGAAAGACGGGGAAGAAGAGAGGCGGCAGCTGAAAAGAGCCCGCACCCGGAGCTTTGCTGGGTCCGCCGCCTCGACTTCGACTTCGACTTCTTTCCCAGCCCTCCCTCGGCCTTTTATGTAGCGCCGCGGGAGTGCCGAGTCCCGCCGCCCTAAGAGTCACTCCGCTCCCGCCCGCGCGGGCGGGGGAAGCGGCGCCAGGAGCCTTTTCTTCTTCTCGCTTTTCTCCTTCTCCTCATTATATCACCCAAAACCACGAGGGGGGAAAACAACAACAAGAGAAACACGGCGACCTTTGCAAAGTTCCACTCTCTCTTTCAAAAGCGCAAGTTTATCAGGCTCCACTGCCTGGTTCCTAAGTGGATAGGAGACCACTTGTAAATCCCAAAGCTATGGGAGAAGGGTACGTTGAACGACATCCCGGTCAAGGCAATGGCAAAAACTGTTTCCGTACTCTTCCCAAGAAAACTGCGTTGATGTTTCCTTGAAATCACCAGGAGCTGAGCTTGACTGGAAGACTATTCTAGTTACGATCAGCAGGCAGAAATTTCTAACTATTTCAATAGTTCTCTATGGAGCGCCAGCAGTTACCACCGTTGCCTTCTGCACACTTCCTCTTTCCAAAGAATTGTCTGCCTAAGGGCACCTATTGGTTGACGTTCTTGCTGTTGGGCAACCCTGACAGTGCAGTTAGCAATAGTTCATGGTGCTATGTGATCCCAGTCAGTTCAATCATCTCTGATTTGAATCCACATGGGTCATCTGCACATTGTGAAGACACAGCGTAGAGTTTAACGACAGTTTAATGAGAGGCATGAGGAGAAGAGGTTGCTCACTTGGGATACCCCTGTCCAGCCTTGGTCACTGAACATCAAAATGGCTTCCCAGTTTTCTAGGCTGTCCCCAAAAACTCCGCCAACTTTTGTGGTTACTTCTAGAAGGACGGTGGGAGAAGTTGTTCTGAAGAGGGAAAAGCACTCTGCTCATTCCCAGACCGGAGTATAAACCAGAACATTTCTTCCTCGTTTTTGGAAAGAATTCTGAAACTGGGTTTGCCTGTCTCAAGTTTATACATTGTGTTTTAAAATCGTTATGAGGTATCACATGTATATGGTAACCCTGTATACACTCTAGCAAAGGCAGTCGGTGGTATCTCTGTGGGGGAGTGAAGGTAAAACAAGAGACTGGCTCAACTCTGTGTATTGAATTTACAGCCAAGAGCAAATTATTCTGCTCATGGTCAAATCACAGCTATTTTAGGTTGCCCAAGAAAACAATTCCCCCTCCAGCACCTTCTTCAGGCTGATTTACACATGCATCTGCACATCCGTTGATGTATTTATGTGTGAATGAATCACGGGGATGCATCTTACCGCAGACAATAGTTCTGTGAATTACTCACAGTCAAATTTCAATAACCCTTCCAGTCATCCCGGCTTGGAAGTGCCTGTGGGGAATTACTCTTTGCCTTTGAGCGACTGGCTCGTCTCCAAAGCCAACTGAAGTCTGGTCTGCGCACTGATACACACATCTGGTTTATCAGTTGAAGGGAAGATAGACTGCAAATGGGAGTTAGTGTGAGAAGGATCATCACAGGCAGGAGGGTTTATTTCACGGGGGGGGCTGTTACTCTTTCATCTGCCAACACGGCACGGTAAGATGTCAGGCTGGGAACATTCACGCGTGAACCAACATTTGCTCCGTACTCCCCACCATAGCAAGATAGTTGCAGACACCTAGAGGTCTTACTGCGAACTTTCTCCCGCCACTGTCAGATCCTAAAGCAGAGAGATGCTTCTGTGGCCAGCCCAATCTAGAGTAGATCGAGCGCGAGAGAGTTTTGGGGGGGGAGGGAGACCTTTCTTCCAGCAGCGTCCTTCGGGTTTCAAGTTGCGGTGCACGAACTGGGCGTGTATTTCTTTTCCCTGACTCCTCGAGTTCCCTGCTAGCAAATCAGACGGAAAACGGGGTTGGGGAAGCGGAGGGGGAAAAGACCCCCCTCATTTCCAACTGCAAGTCCCTCTAAAGTTCCTAGTTTATTTGCCTGCACAAGGCAGGACGCTCGCGTGCATACACGTGTCCGCCCTCATCCCCCTCCCACAGAAAAAGACAACCCTACCTCCCTTCTGGCCTTCCCACGCCCCCCCTACCCCTAAGTCTCGGTCCCCTCCCTCTCCTGCAGCACCTGGCTGGGGCGCCCCTCGTATTGGCTGCGAGGGCCCATCAATCAGCGTCGGGCGCTGCTGACATCATGCTGCAGTACAGGGGCTGGGCCGGACCGGAGAAAGGAGGCGTCCGGGAGCTCCAGCTGGCGCCCCGTCCCGGGCAGTGCCTCGACAGCCGACCCCTGGGTCTGGGTGGGAGCAGATCGTAGCGACAGCCGTCAAGGCACTCTCCTTCGGCGAACGAGACCGAGCCTATCCCGGACAGCGAGCGGTATTTTCACGGCTTTTCTAAAATGGGCTGGGGGATGCCCCTCGCCTCCGCCTCTCGCCTCCTCCTCCTCCTCCTCCTTGTCTCCTGCACCCTCGGCAACAAAGGTGAGCCAGTCGAGGCGCCCGGACTCCCCCAGGAGAGGGCTGGGCTGGGTGGGTGTGTGTGGCTGGGAAGCTCTTGGAGCGCCCTCCATGCCTCTCCCATCTGGTCAAAGCTGGAGCGCAGCTCTTCTCCTGCCTTCTAATCCAGCCCATCCATTCCCCGGGAATGCTGAGAGGCGGGTAGAGAAATAGGGCTTGGCGCTAACCGTGGGGCTGCCCGCTGCTTCTCTGCTTTTGCTATTTTGCTCCTCTGGATCTTCTCACTTGCTTCCTTCTGTAGCATCAGAGCCCTTTTCCCTTGCTTTGCTTCCTTGGATTGCACACCAACCCACCACTACATCTCCTGTTTATCTCTCCCCTAGGTTCATTTTCTGCCTATCGTTTTATCACACGCCCAGCAATTCCCAGGGCTGCTCCTGTATTCCAGTCTCTTAGGATCAAAACGTGATGAAGCTGCTTTGCTACCCCCCTCTCGGTTTCTAGGCTAGTTGCCATCTTCTCTTCCTTGCAGCCTTAGGGTCTTAGTGGGTTTGCCAGTCCGTTCAGTTCATGGTTGCAAAATCTACTAATTTCAAGCAAAGGAGAGGGAAACCATTGCATTTATAAATGGGTGAACTGCTGAACAGAGAGAGGGATGCTACTCTACAGAAGCTTCAGTATTCTGAACACGAACCCAGGACATATATCCGCACGCATATCTGGGTGCCTGAAAATGAGAGAGATGTGTAGGTTGATCTAGGCTTACAGGTCTTAATGTAAGAACAAGAGTTCTTGGGGGAAATAGAGTAATATCGCATGGAAACGAAAGGAAGAAGCTAAAGGTCCTGCATATTTTGGGGAGACTGAGTCATCTTTCAGCTTGCAGCAAAGGAAAGAGACGGAGTGTGAAAAAGCATTTGATTTCTATTACCATGGCTTTCTTCCTTAAAAATTGGCATCGGGGAGGGGGAGGGCAATGCAGCAGCATTAGGATTCAGTGCGCTTGTTGGCTCTGCAGATAGAGTGGAATCTCTCTCCCTGGTACCCAATTCTAAATGCACGTAGCCACTGGGGGTTGACGTGGCCTTGCGTTCCTTGTTAAAGTATCCTTTGAGAAACAGTCAAACCAGAGCTCTTCAGGTGGCTGGTAGGAATAGTAGAGGTTTTATTCTCCCTTCACCAGCTCATTGTCCTTCCATTGCAATCATCCCCCTTGAAGCAAAGGCCGCAGGGCAAGAGCTTTGTGTTACAAGGGTACCAAAGAGGGTCAGGTCATATGAGTAAGATACCTTAGAGACATGGCAGAAACAAGCAAGAATGCAACTTGGGCTCGATTATTTATTTGTTTAAATATGGCAGCTCTGAAAACAATCTGGCGAGATGAATACTCCGATTTACATTCTTCTGCCGCCCGTAACCCCAGAGCTTCAGAATTCTCTGCTGCAGTATAGCATTTTTTTAAAAAAAACCTCTCATGTTCTGATTTACCTTATTTTTCATTCTTCCAGTCTTGGTTGGCTGCAAAGTGCTTTAAAGACTCTAACTGAAGCCCTTTTCAGGCATCTTTTCAATTCAGCTATGATACCATCTGATGAATATAAGTGCTTCAAAAGAACTTCTTGGCTAAATTAAACCATCTAGTCCCACAACCCCTTTTGAACACTGGCTAATTGGGAGCCTCTGGAGACCAACAGGCAGAACCTGAAGATGATGTTTTGCACCTGTTCTTTGTCTCCACCTCTGTTCTCCTAGGCCATCTCTTTGCTGTTTAGCATTAATTGTGGCTGATAGGAATGGATTTGTCTAAGCCAGTTCAAAAGCCACTGGAGCTAATGGCCACAACTGTTATCTTGAAATTAATACCACAGAATCTGTTACATATTATTTCTCTGTGATCTGTGAGAGGTTTTCATTTTCTGACCAGTGCTTGTGATGCTGTGTTCTAATACTCAACAAAATATATTTTTGACTACATGGTCCTTGCTGGTCCATGATCTTGATTCTAAACACATACTATCACAAAGTAAAGTTTGGCTTTACTTCTCATGCAAGAATCTGCTTGCATTTCTGGCTGAAGAACCCATCAAGAAATTACCAAGGATAAAAGAGCAGCAAATAATCTTGAAACTGGCATAGGGCACTATGAGATACATCAAAGTACTTGAGCTGGAAAATCCAAATGGCATTTCCTTCATGCTAAACACTGACCAGCCTGCCAGGAAGATTATCCCTATAAACCCTCCATGTTCTTATATAGCAACTTTAGGGTAGTCAAAGCAGATGACTATACACCTGTGCCCAATATATCTGCCTCCACTTTGACTCTTTAAGTCCTTTTTCTGAGAACGTTTGCTCACTTTACAGGGTCATTTCTAATGATTTCACTTGAAATATTCTCATGGAAATAACCTTCAACTGTTTGAGGGTCATTAATGTCAGTTGCAAATCAGAGATGGGATTCTGCTGCACAGGCGGATGCTTTATCTAAAGTTCCTAATAATCTCCTGTGGAAAATGTCCTTAAATTCTGAATGTCCCTAAAGTAGTCATAGGATTGCTCAGTCATGAATGAATGGAACACAACTCTATGTATCTGTAGGA